AAAAAACACTGCTCTTAAGTCCATTCTGACTCATAGTGAACCCTATTGGATTTTGGAGGAGGTAAATCTTTATGGAAATAGATTGCCCAGTCTTGCTTTGGCAAAGTGGCTGGTAAGTTTAAACCACCAACCTTCTGGTTAGCAGTCAGATACCTTAGGCACTGTGCTACCAGAGTGCCTTATATTTATATACATGTATACAGAAACAAACTCACTGCAAGTCTATCAACTCTATCCCGACTCATAGCAACCCCTCCTTGGGTTTCTGAGGTGGTATCTCTACGGAAGTAGATTGCCCAACCCCCCTTCTGAGGAGTGGCTGGTGGGTTTGAACCGTTAGCTTTCTTGTTAGCAGTCAAATGCCTTAGGCACTACAGTACCAGACCTGAACTCAATTTTCTCAGCCTCATTCAAATATCTAAATTTCAGTAATCATCTTTTGGGTGAACAAATTAAGATGTTATTAAATGATAGGATAATTAATTCTGTGTTAATTATGCAATACTTGAGATTATCTGGAGGTGTTAGGTTAAACAACTGATCAATCTAATTATTTTGGACTCTTGTTGTCTACATGTGCACTGTTTAAAATGATGTGCTTCACGTTGCTATTGTGAAAAGCTTGTTCTTGAAATCAATATTTGAGTTCAAATTTTCTTGTTTTGAGGTTAGATGAAAAAGAAAAAAAAACTACTAGAACGTGGAATTGGTTTCATCATTAGTTGTAGCACATATATAGAAGAACAAACAATAAGCAGATAGATATATTTCCACCAACCATTATCTTCTCAAGATTTTCCTAGTCAAATCTTCTCCTAATTCTTATTTCCATTTTACAAAATTGAAACTAGAATTGTAAAAATCTTCTTCTTCGATAATCAGAAAAGTCTATTGCATGCTTAAAAAAAAAAAAAAATTATGTGGACTAATCCACGTGTCAGTTTGCCTATTAAAATACAAACAATTTTGTTAAGCCTATTTTATTCAGCAGGACCCATTGTGGTATATACTACTGGTTACCAACTGAAAATGACAACTATTTCTTCAATACTAAAATTACTTCTGGCTCCCTGATGGCACAATGGTTAGGTACTTGGCTGTTAAGCTAAAGGTTGGTGGTTTGAATCAACCACTGACTCTGCAGGAGAAAAGACCTGGCCATCTTCTTCTATAAAGATTACAGCAGAAGAAGCCCTGTTTTATTTTGTTCCATACATTGCTACAAGTCATAATCCACTCAATGCACATGGTAAAAATAGTACCTTGATTTTGTCCAGGCAAGGAGCAGAAATGTGACTGGGGAGGGGGAGAAGGAGGCGGTGGGCCCCCTCTATACCCAGGACCTGAAGAATGTTTGGTTTAATTCATTCATGGTTAATTCATGACCTGATGCTAGTTACTGACTAGAGTAGTTTTATGAGCTAGTTTTGAACAATGAGAGATGAAAGGAACTTTGCTGGGGAGAATTCTTGGAACTTTTACATTCAGTATATAAATCATGTGGAACATATAGAATTGTTACAGTGGCTTATTATGATGAGATTATTATACTGGGATATAATTATTAAAAATAACCCCATAGCATTTATACATTGGGATTATAATAATACTGCATGCGCATCTACTATGCATATTATTTATTAATTATATGACTTATGGTAGATCTTATGGATAGACTGATGTCTGCATAATTCCTCTTGTTCTATGAAAAAGCTAGTTTATCTTGCTTCAACTCACTACTTGCTAATTCTATTTTTATTCAGTTGTGTTTTTTCTGAATCCTTGTATCCTTTATTCTTTAAAGATTTTTTCACAATATTCTTCATGTCTGGAGATAATTTACATTGTAATTTTTTTTCAATTAATTATTTTTCATCATTGTGTAATAATTTTTTCAGCTCTATATTTTAATGTACCAATTCTTTCTTCAGCTGTCTTTAAACTACTATGTAAATCATTGAGTTCTCAAATCAGTTATTATATTTTTGTTTTCTTGAAGTTGAATTGAATTATTCTCCAGAGGTGCCTTCTAATTTTGGTAATCACTAGTTTCTGGATTTTTCATTATTTCTCCTTCATTAAATCTTCTGTTGCTTCAAGCATATTTCATTTACATAATTCATATTTTGATCACACTAATTTCCAATATCTGCCATCTGAGGGTTTGATTCTACTGTTTGTTGCCTCTGCTGATGCCTTGTGGTGGTGGCAACCCCCCATTATGGTTTGTGATTTTTTAACTCTGAGTTTGTAATCATTAGAACTTTGTGGGAACACTCAGAAGCTTAGTATGAAGGCGGTTGTTCTAGGGATAATTTGAACAAGTTTATTTTAAATTTCTGAGCCCTAATCTGAGACCACTTTAATCTATACTTTTATCTTGTGTTATCGGGCCCATGGACAATGTAAATTCTTGACTAGAATCTGTGTGAGGGTTGATGTGAAGTTAAAATTCCCAAAAAAGACTTTTTTTCCTGCTTCCTTTAAGCCAAATCCAGGATAAAGCAAAAACAAACTCCTGCAATTGAATCAATTATAACTCATAGGGACCCCCATAGGGTTTCCAAGGCTATAAATCTTTACAGAAGCAGAATGCCTCATCTTTCTTCCATGGAGTGCCTGGTGGTTTTGAACTGCTGAACTTTTGGTTGCAGCCAAATATTTCAACCACTGCATCAACAGAGGTTCTTAAGTCCAGGATAGGCAAACCTTTTTACCATCTTTTACCTTCTTCTCATTTCTCTCCCTTTCACTCACTGAAGAAGTTTCTTTTTGGTTACTGTCTTAGGCTGGGTTCTCTAGAGAAGCAAAATGAGAGAGAGAGAGAGAGAGCAATTTATCTCTGGGAAATGCTCACACAGTTGTAGAGGCTGGTGAGTCTCAATTTCATGGATCAAACATCAAGCAGGAGGCTTTTCCCCTCTTACTTAGCTGCAGGTACTGATGAATCCAAGATCAGCAGGCAGTATGGCAAATGAGGAACCCAAGACTGGTAGGTGAAATAGCAGATTATTGGCTCACAGGCTGGAAGGCAACAATGCCAAAATTGGCAGGCAATAAGGCAGGCCACCAGTTCAGCTCCAAGAACCAGAGATGATGAGCCAGGCACAGGACCGAGATCGAGCAGAAAGGCTGAGCATTTTCCCAGGATGGTCATATATACATTGGAAGCAGATCAACCCCTGAAGAAACTCTCTTTCAACTGACTGGCTGCTTAGAGCATATTTCATCATGGAAGTGATTACATGTGAACTATTTACACCATTTAGAATCATGGTCCAGCCAAGTTGACACACAACCTTAACTATCACATTTACATGTGTTTCGTTCAGAATTCTTCATCTGATTTCCTCCTTATTCTGACTCCTGGCTTTCTTTCTCATGCCTAAGATCAGGATTAGCATTCAGTTACCCCATGGAATTCACATTTTATCCATATTTCAGAGAGCTCTGGTAGTGTAGTGCCTAAGGTACTTGACCGCTAACCAGAAGTCTGGCAGTGCAAACCCACCAGCCACTCCTCAGAAGGAAGGTTGGGCAATCTACTTCCATAGTGATACTGCCTCGGCAACCCAAGGAGGAGTTGCTATAAGTCGAGTCCGACTCCACGGCATATAACAACAACAGCAACATCCATGTTCTTTAATATTTCCCTTAGAATTTTGCAAGCTCTTTTGTGTATTTAAAGAGTTGTTTTTAATAAATTCATCCAGCAAATTTAGGTGTTCTGTATACCTTAGAAAATAAGAGTTTCTAAACCATCATATTGCCAGAAATAGAAATTCTGTTTATTTTAAACATAACAATTATTCATACAGCATTACCGTGTAATCCTCAGCATTCCGGACTTAGTGAAGTTATTTTATGAGGTATATATTTTCTTGGTATCAAGGTACAAAAATACTGAGTTTTTGCTCTTTTGTGATTTCATTTTCTATTTTACCTACTTTAATTACCTTATTGTATTGTTTTGTATTGCTTTGAACTATTATACATCCTTTCCAAAAAACATAATACAAATAAATTTGTAAAACAAAACGTGTTAAAACATAGCTCTGGTTTTGTACTTTTAGAGTTTCAAGTGCAATTTTTCATACATTGTTTTATATTTTCTCCAAAATATAGGCAGTGTGAATCTTCTTATGTGGCCAGAAAGGAACTCACTCACCAGATGGTAAAGCCTGAACTAGAATCCATTTTCCAAATCCTGATGCAGTACACTTAAGTTTGCATGAGACAAGTTGGATATTATAAATATATCCAACTTATATAGAGGATATAATAAGGGGAGGAGGAAGTAAATTCTATGCTAAAACTCCTTTAGCCATGCTCTCAGGGTATTTTCTAAGTGAGGTAGTCATGTTGACATTAACATAAAGTATGTTTTCCCCTACACATTCTAGAGGACCTTTATTGTAATTGTTGTGGAATTTATTTGTTACAAATAAATTCCTATTTATCTTTTAGATTAATATTATTCCATTTGATGGACAGTCTACAGACAGTCTACAGACGTAATTTAGACATAATTCACACATTTAGTAGTCTAAAAATTTAATTGTTTGAATGTGAGATATTGCCCAATTAAAGACTAGAACACAGCTATATAGAAAGTGTGTTTTCATTTTCAAATGAAGAAAGAGATAATATCCCCACATGCTTTTTAAAATGAATATTACTTACAGTTTTATATGCAAAGGTCTCTTCATAAAATGCTAGCATCAGAGCAAACTGAACAATAGCATATGTCTTTAACAGCTGAGATGCTGGAGATGAGAAGGCAATTTCTTTCCCAGTGACCTAGGTTGATGAGAAAGAAAGCTTTTTACATTCCTTCTTAGCATGTTCTTCTTTTTGAAATTCACATTAAGTGAGGAAGAGATTTGCAAAAAGAATTAAACAACTTGCTATGCTCCCCCCTTGTTCACTGTTCAGCTTTTGCATGCATTAAAAATAACATGGTTTGGGTCAGGTACACATTACTCCTCAAAGTGACCTTTTTTTTTTAACACTTTGAAGAGGATTTTTGCAGCAGTTTGCAGCATGATTCAGTTTGCCTCAAAGATCAATAGGGAGTGCCTAGGTAATTCAAACAGGGCTTGGCTGTTAACTAAAAAGTTGGAAGTTTGAGTTCATCCAGAGTCACCTCAGAAGACAAGTTTGTAATCTACTGCAGAAAAATCAGTCACTGAAAACCTTATAGAGCACAGTTCTCATCTAATGCACGTGAGGCCAACATGAGTCAGAGTTAATTCAGCAACTGGTTTACTTTTGGTTCAAAAAGCAATATGAGAATTGATTCAGCAGTATGTGCTGATGCCATGTACTGATGGTAAAGAAGGTCAAAGTGAATAGGGTGGATCTTTTGTTGCAATTATAACTATGAGCATATAGGAAAGCAAAGCAAAGAGAAAAGTAAAGGTCATTTTGTGTAGGTAGGTAATCATGCCTCAAAGAGAAATATTTTAATTGAAATAACTTTTCAAAACGACTGAGTTTATCAGAAATGCTGCACTTCTATTTTTATAATGCAGATTTAGGTACTCACCTGACCTTATAAATAATCACTTTGAATTATCTATCTATTGAAAAAATGAAAAAAAAAAAAAAAATAGACCACATCTAAATAAAATTTTAGAAGCTGAAAAAAGCAAATTATTTTCAACTCTATCAATTTGTTAGATGGTTTCATAACTGACTATGAATATAAACATAGTTTCTGGGAATATTCATAATACCAGCTTTGATAATTCAATAGTAAAAGAGCCAAACTAAATAGTCATATCTTCTTAGTGTGTGACCTCAGACTTTCCATTATGGGGACCTCATATTTTCATGGACAAAATTAAAGTTAGACTGAATCATCTCTAGACTCCCCACCATTTCTGATGTTCTTGATATCTGTGACTAAACCATGTGTCTTTGTGAAGCATTTGCCCTGCACAAAAACATTGACCTCTGCTGGTCTGCTCCTTAAAATGTGTTTCTGGTTAAGGGGCATGTCTGCCTGGGAAAAGGAACCCTCTTATAGGCCCCTACTTTGTGAGAACTCATAAAATCATGGGTGACAGAGCTGCATCTGTCTAAAGGAACATTGTTTCTTGAATTTACATGAAGACAACATATATATATATAGAGAGAGAGAGAGAAAGAGAGAGAGAGAGAGAGAGAGAGACTGACTGTTGACCTGACAGTATACACTAACCCCCATCACCACCAAACCATTAACTGTACTTACTTCTGGAATTTCTTCACTCAATCCAAGTCTTGGTTTACCTGGACCCCATCCTGGTCCTTTAAATATGACAGAAAACTTATTGAAGAATCCAGGTGTGGTCCAGAATGTAGTCCATATGTATAATAAATGATGGAACTAGGAAGAATAAAAATATTACTAATTTAAAATAAAAGAAACTCAGAACAAAAAAATTAAATTCAACAAATCTTATGTTTTACTTTATTGCAAAATAAAACATATATAGGTGGTCCCTGACTGACAGTAGTGTTCAGTCCTAACTTTCATTCTGATGTAAGTACAATACCACATTTGTTTTTCAGTTTCCATTTTATTGCCTTTTATTATCAGTATCTTTATAATCAATCTATCCTTAGCTGTCTTTGGGTTGGCATGAGAATGATAACACCAGCAAATTACATCCTACAACCTTACATGTAGTATATATTACTAATGATAAGATAAAATTTACAAAAAAACAGGACAGTTGTAAGTATGATTCATCATAACTCAAATACACCGTAAGTCGGGGATTATAATATTATATCAAATATTCACTATAATTATGTTGCTGTTCAGTCAAGTGAGTTCTGATTCATAGTGACCATATGTACAACAGAACAGAAGGTTGCCTGTGGCCCTGTGCCATTCTTGCATCTATTGCTATGTTTGAACCCAGTGTTGCAGCTATTTTGGCAATCCATTTATCTGAGGGTTTTCTTCTTTTTCATTGACCCTAAACTTTATTAAGCATTATGTCCTTCTCTAGGGACTGTTCCCTCCTAATCACAGGTCCAAAATAAGTAAAGTGAAGTCTCTCTGTCCTCACTTCTATGGAGAAGTTTACCTCTACTTCTTCCAAGAGAGATTTGTAGTGACTCCTCCTCAGGTTTCTGAGGTGGTATCTCTATGGAAGTAAATTGCACAGTCTTCCTTCTGAGGAGTGGTTGATGGGTATGAACAGCCAGCCTTCTAGTTACAAGTCTAGTGTCTTAGTCACTATACCACCAGAGGTCCCATTCTTCTGGAAGTCAGTGGTATATTCAATATTCTTAATCGACATTATAATTCCAATGCATCAATTCTTCTTCAGTCTTCCTTATTCATTGTTCAGCTTTTGAATGCATAAAAATACCATGGCTTGGGTCAGGTGCACATTACTTCTCAAAGTGACTTTTTTTTTTTTTTTTTTTTAACACTTTGAAGAGGATTTTTGCAGCAGATTTGCCCAATGCAATATGATGTTTCATTTCTTGACTGTTGTTTCCATAAGTGTTGATTGTAGGTCCAAGTAAAATGAAATGCTTAACAACTTCAGTCTTTTTTCCATTTATCATGATGTTGCTTATTGGTCAAGTTGTAATGATTATTTTTCTTTATATTGAGGTATAATCCACACTACAGGCTGTAGTCTCTGATTTTCATTAGTAAGTGTTTCAAGTCTTCTCACTTTCATCAAGAAAAGTCGTATCATCTGCATATTACAAGTTGTTAATGAGTCTCCTTCCAATCCTGATGCTGCATTCTTTCTTATATATTCCAGCTTCTCAGGTTATTTGTTCAGCATGGAGATTGAATAAGTATGTTGAAAAATAGAACCCTGACACACAGTTCTGTTGAGCCCAAAGCATGCAGTACCACGTTGTTCTGTTAGAATGACTGCCTCTTGGTCTGCGTGCTGGTCTTTCATGAGAAAAAGTAAGTGTTCCGGAATGGAATCCCATTCTTTTCAACGTTATCTATAATTTGTTCTGATTCCCATAGTCAAATGCCTTTGCATAGTCAATAAAGCACAGGCAAACATCTTTCTGGTATTTTATGTGCTCAGCCACGGTCTATGTGACAACAACACTGATATCCCTCATTCCATATTCTCTTCTGAACCCAGGATGAATTTCTGGTAGCTCCTTGTTAATGTACTACTGCAAACATTTTTGAATTATCTACAGCATAGTTTTATTTCCATATGATATTAATGACATTGACAATTTCTGCATTCTGTTAGAACACTTTTCTTTGGAATTGCACAAGTATCAATCTTCTCAGTCAGGTGGTGGGGTATCTGTCTTCCAAATTTCTTGCCATAGATGAATGAATACTTCTAAAACTCCATTTATTGAAACATCTCGATTGGTATTCCATCAATTCTTGGAACCTTACTTTTCACCAACGTTTTCAGTGCAGCTTAGATTATTTCCTTCAGTACCATAAGTCCTTGATCACATGCTACTTCATGAAATGGTTGAACATTGACCAATTATTTTTGGTACAGTGATTTTGTGTATCCTTTCTATCTTTTTTTATTGTTGTTGTTGTTGCTTCCGCTTGCATCATTCAATATTTTGCTCATAACACAACATACAATGCACTGCTGTCAAGTAGGATCCAACTCATAGCAACCCCTCCTTGGGTTTCCAAGGAGGTATCACTACGGAAATAGATTGCTCAAACTTCCTTCTGAGGACTGACTGGTGGGTTTGAACCACCAGCCTTCTGGTTAGCAGCCAAATGCCTTAGGCACTATGCCATTTTGCCATAGAATCCTTCAATATTACAACTTGCAGTTTGATTTTTTCTTCAGTGTTTCAGCATGAGAAATGTTGAGCACGTTCTTTTCTTTTCATTTTCTAACTCCAGCTCTTTGAACATTTTCATTATAATACCTTACTTTGTCTTCTTGAGCTGCCCTTTGAAATCTTCTTTTCAGTCCTTTTCCTTCATCATTTCTTCCTTTCACTTTAGTTACTCTACATTTAAGGGACATTTCAGAGTCTCTTCTGACATCCATTTTGGTATTTTATTCCTTTTTTGTCTTTTTAATGGCCATTTGCTTTCTTCATAAATTATATTCATGATGTCATCCCACAGCTTATCTGGTCTAAGGCCATTTTTGTTCAACACATCAAATCTATTCATGAACTGTTCTCTAAATTCAGGTGAGATACTCTCAAGGTCATACTTTGGCTCTCATATACTTGTTTTAATTTTCTTCAGCTTCAAGTTAAACTTGCATAGGAGCAACTGATGGTCTGTTCCACAGTCAGCCCCTGCCCTTGTTCTGATTGTGATGATATTGAGCTTTTCCAATTGGTTCTTTCAATAGATGTAGTTGTTTAGATTCCTATGTATTCCATTCATTGTTGTGCATGTACATTGTTGTTGTTATGCACTGTCCAATTAGACCCAACTCATAGCGACCCCTCCTTGGGTTTCC